CCTCACCTGTCCCAGCATCCCCACAATTTCTTCAATGACCGGACTCAACTTTAAGAAACAAACTACTTAGGACTGTCCTTGATGCTTCCTGACCTCTCTTATAGCCACCATAGCCTACTAACAGTTCTTCTCAGGCATCTGACTTTACTCTTTAGTAACCTCATAGTAGAGTACCAGGAGCAAACAAGACACATGCAACCCTCAAAGCAAACTCTTGCTGAGAGAACAGGGCACTGCGAGCAGTGCTAACCAGGCTCTCTTGAACCCCAGCGTTTGTAAGGACTTAGACAAAATCACCAATCTAATTTTTTACTTCTTGACCTAAGTCAGCTTTTGAACCCAGGACTGCAGAGGTGAAAGGTTAATGTATTAAGCTGTCTGCTCTTCAATTAATCCCTAAACCCTGGGTAGATTTACAAACTATTGGAAGATTTTAAATCTCACCTGATTTATGAGATGCCCTTTCTAAGTTCAGATTGTCTTTACAGATGGTCACCAAACAGGGCAATAAGGATAATTACTATATAGATTTATTGTCAGGATGGAATTTTTAATTTCAAAAATAATGTACACCTGTCTATCCTGACACTGTGGCCAATCTGAGCATCTGAAATGTTAAACCCTGATGTCTCTTTATTTCCTTTTTGCCTCGGAAAAGAAACCAGTTGCACTGTGGACAGGCTACAGGCCTGACAGAGAGAGACACAGAAATCCTTCAGCCGTGGCAGCAATGCAGATAACTTGTTGAAAGTAAAGCAATACACTGTTGCATCATCAAGAGTTTCTCTCAGATAATACTGTACAAATATATTCTTTGGAAGAAGCTTATGGTCTTTTAAAGAAGATCTTGACATGGGAGAGTTGTAAGGATGTGTGCCAGAAGTTATGGGAGTAGGCAGGCTAGTCTATTTGCAAGTGGACTTTCTGCATCAATTAGAAACCTGAAGCCTCAGGTACACAGATTTTTAATTGCTTTTTAGTGCATTAAAAAGTCGTCTGAGAAGCCTTGAGAAGCTCCCTGAAGCCCCCACTGCTGCCAGGCACAGCATAACTAACAGCCAAGTCCAATAGCCCAGGAAGAGCCACAGGGCCATCACCACAAACACTGAAGAAAAGTCCAGGGAAGCTCTTATTTTCCAGTGTAAGTAATCACAGAATCATGGAACTGCTTACGTTGGAAAAGACCTTTAATTAACATCATCAAGTTAACCCAGTACAGAGAAGTCCACTACTGAACCATGTCCCTAAGTGCCATATTTACACATCTTTTAAATACCTCCAGGGATGGTGACTCCAACACTTCCCTGGGCAGCCTGTTCCAATGCTTGACAACAATTTTGGTAAAGAAAATTTTCCTAATGATCAATTTAAAACTCCCCTGGCACAACTGGAATTGGCTGCTAATCTATCAGCTCAGATAAAAGAAAGGCCTGGATTGTAGGCTGAAGGCTGACACCCCAGTAAGTAAAGGGAACCCAAACACTCCATGTTATCCTGTGACAAAGAGGGCCACTTGCCAATAAAAGACTCAATCTCCAAGAGTTTGTACTGGTACAAAGCCAGTTACCTGGCTGCCAGACAATGGACATGAATTGCACTCAGTACTCATGATTCATGGTTGTTCACTAGGCTGAGCCTTCCCAGGTGTTTCGATATCAAACAGAGGTAGCAATTTTCAACTGCTTCCCACTCAAGTGGGATCAAACCGGTGATGCAGAAGGGAAGAGCCTGTGTGCAGCCCTGGCCCCTGACTCCTCAGAGCAGCTGTGCACTGTTGCAGAGGACACCTGTCCAAAAAGACACTAGAAAAACTTTGCTCACATGGCCTTTGCAGAAATCTATCGACTCAGTTGCTATTGTTGAATATGCTCAAAATATGTTCAAAAAATGTAATGCCTGGGAAAGACTTTCATCCATCACAGTGCAAAGAACAAGGAATAATTAATTCCTTTTTTTCTCAGCAGACGTAGTCCTTTATGAGGAAATATTGCATTATAGGTACTTGGAAGAGAGAGGGTGAGGAGCAGGAAGGAGAAATTGCCAGGATCCCAACATCATCAATTGCTGTCAGCTCTGCTCTGGGAATAGCGTGTAGCTGTTAATTGCTGCTGCAGATTCAGCAGATGGTGGGTAAGACATTGTATTTAATGGAGCCCCTCAAAAAGGAGTGGCATCTGTTTGTTTAATTTCTTGGCAACAGAATGGCAGATTTAAAAAACAAACAAACTAAATTGGACATTTAGCTATGAATGTCCTCCTAACAGATTATAAATATTTTAAGATAAATAGGTCAAATTAAGGAAAATATCAATTGACACATTTGAGAAGTAAGCCAAACTTTTAGATATTGGCTCTTTTAAAGATTAGATTTTTCAACATACGGCAATTAAACTCTTTAAAGAGGCTTTTAAATGAAACATTGACACTATCCTTTTGACTATGAATTTGTCTGTTTGTTAGAACTGTTACAAATACTAATTCAGAAACTAATCCATTCTACCTGTCTCTCTTTCTCTGACACACACCCTGAGATTAAAATATGATGTCCAGATCTAGACCATTTAATCATGTTCTTCTCCTACATTTAAAAACAGCAACAGAAAATAAGGCAGAAAGCATCTGCAGTCTCTCTCTAACAGCTGGGATGGGCAACTCTGAGAAGCTGTTGCTGTGGCTGTTGCTGCCGTAGCTCCGGTATTAATGCAACTCCCCATGTTCCTGGAAATTCACTGCAGCAGAGTGTGCCATGGATCCATCTGTAGCAGGGTATTATATTGCCTCTAACAATGGTCAAACATGGATGCTTTGCACAAGAATGTAAAAGCCCAGGATCTTTACTGTCTATGCAGTGCTGCACCATGAGAAGTCCTTCCTACCCACACTCAGTGAGCAGACAGCCTCCCAAAGCATGAGGGTGGATGACTATGCATATCTTCTCCAGGTACTTTTTCTGGGAAGTCCTCTGCACCATTTGTCAGATTTTAGGCATGTTTCCTACTTTCCCTGTTTTAAGGCAGAGTTTGGATAGGATGCTTAAGCTGAGTAACGGCCCACTTGGCCTCTCTGTTTCCAGCTGCTGATACAAAAAAATGCTGCTGCTCACTTTTTCCTACCAGCTATCTCCCATCCATGTTCATTGCTGCAGGCTAGACAGAGTCTACCCATCCATGCCAGAAAGTTGTTCCCTTGGACTTTTTTCCAGATCACAGCTGCTGCGAGGCTGTGCCACCTGGGCACGTGTCTGTGTGGCCGTGCTGGGACTGTGCGCTGGCAGGAGCGGTGGACAGAAGCCCACAGCCCACAGCTGCTGACATTGCTGCACCACTCAAGTGTGTCTGCCCTGGAATGTTTTGCTGATGGCTGTGTGTTGGCTGAAGTTATGTTGTGTTTTTTCCAGGGGTTCATTTTGTTTTCGGCAGTAGAGATGCACATGATGTTCCCCCGACAGTAAGTCTGGGCGTAGAGTTGCACAAATCTGTGTGTCCCTCAGAACAGATTTCTCAGGCAAGTGCCAGTTGACTGCCATGGCAGCTTTTCCAGGTGAAAAAGCCCAGGGTAAAGATTCAGTTTAACCTCTGTGGCTCTGTAATGCTGGCTGACCTCGGGCCATGAGGGGTAACTGAATTCTCCCAAAGTTTTCTTAAGCAGGGAGAGTGTCTTATACCCTCTTGCTGAGCCACTGGATCTACCTGGACACATAATCCCCTCCTCAGCCTATCCCCAGCCCTTCTCCCCTATTCCACATGCACATGAATGAGGAAATAAAAGGCAAACAGCAATGCTATAAACCAACTCTTAATATTTTTACCCTGGTGATCACATTCTTCAGGGAAACATGTATCTAAATACGGACATAGCCTGTAGTCAATCAATATTTTTACAGCTCTTAATTAAGGATACCTCAGATATATATTTTTACCATTCAGGGCATAGCTTTGCAAACATTACAGCTGTTAAAATAAGGGAAGGCTGAATTGTTCACATAGCATATGCACCTTGATAATGTCTGGTCAGTTATGATGGAGTAAAACTGCTCCCTTAGCTTCCCTATCTGTGAATAGGGTACAGAAACATGCAGGTAATAGCTATGCAGAATTTTTCTCACTCACAAAGATAAAAACAAGAACTACGTAGTCTTACTGTTACGATTTCAGCATCTTATAGTCTCACACCAGCAGAAGCCTAAGAGAGTTAAAAAAATGATAGTGCTCTTATTTCAAATGAGAGCTTTTTCTGATTAAAATTTTTATCAGGTGAATGGAAAATTAAATGTCTATAGGATAGGACATTACATAAGGTTCGTTCTTTTTTTTTTCTGGCTTACTCTTAATAGAAGCTGTATTGAACTGCTTTTTCAAGATTTTTTGTTAGAAGCTGTGCTAGGAAGACACTTCCCCATACACTGAGTTGATACTTGATTTCACAAATGAGGTCAGTACCATCTTGATCAAACAGAGCCACCCCTCTGACAAGAAAAGCATCCTGTAGTGAATCAGGACATATGGAACAGACCCAATTCTATTGAAACTAAAATAAGCATGGAAAGGTCTCAAAAGAGATAATTTAAATGCCTCTCATGGCTCTCACGGCTCTCACCACATATCACATGCCTGAGATATAAAAGGTTAGACTGGAAAAGTCTACTATTTTACCTACCTTGCAAAAAGAAAAAAAAAAACAAAACCAAACACCTTTGTAACATTCTTAATTAAAAGATAAGGAAACGTTCCTCCTAAATACTCACACCTTGCACTTATCTATGACATTTCTGGTAAGGAGCTGAAAAAAGCAGATGAGGATTGTTATCTACACTGGTTCAGCCTGTGCCATATGAGGAACGTAACCCAGTTGTCCGCTGTAAAGCCTCTAACCACCCTGAGGCATCCAGCATGGCATGCCGGGACGGGCTGCTCCGGCACTCCCAGCTCCTGCGGCAGCATAGCCTCTGCCTGTGCGTGCTGTCTGCCCTCCTGGCTATTTTCATGATTGCAGGGAAATGTTAGATACAAAAAATTCTTCCATCACTCTTTATTTTCCATTGCTCTTCCGTGTAAAGAATACAGCTATTGGAATCTGGATTTCATGGTCAGCTTAGAAATTATCGGCAGTGAGTATTTAAAGACTTGGACGTGTCTGTCCCTTCATGTTGATTCTGTGGCACTGCTTTGCAGCATGACTGATTAACCTTGTGATATAAATACAGGTTCTCACAGGCAAATACTTAGTAGAGTGCGAATGACAAAATCTCAAGTGCCAAATATAACCCGTGCATCACCACGGAGCTCGGAACAGGTAGGCAATTTTTCTGACAAACTGTCTAAGATCTGCACTTTCCCAGTCAGCCTTCCTTCTGTTTTCTACTTCAGCTTCAGTAGACTCATCTTCTAATTTTTCCTTGATGATGCCCTTCACAGCACTTGTGCCTTCCCTGTGCTGGCAGCCATCCCTTTATAGAGCTCTCTGTGCTCATTCACAAAAGTCAACTGGGTAGAGAGGCCCCATTTCTTGTTTTAGGGGCACAGTCTTATTCTAATGTTTTTGGTGAGGCTTGTGCTTTAATCCAGGATGAGACGTCATTGCTTTATAGTTTTTTTATTTTAGTTATCCTTCATTGTCCTATTGAAAGGGAAAAACAGGCCCCAAGACCTTCTATTGGTCTTGATGATGTCTCTAAAATGTGGTCATTTATTGCCTCCTACCAGGTGATTCTCTCCTTTTATAGACAGGGTATTTTGATATTTCATTCTGCTCAAGGGAAGAAGACTAAACAAATAATATTACTGCATTTGGTCTACTTCCTTTTTCTTACAAGACAGTTGATTTTCTCCAAACTGAATAGAATCATTTTCAGTGCAGGTTGAAATGAATAGTGAATGTTAGCTTCTTTTTTTGTATCACTCTGAGATTATTTTTTCCCATGACTTCTCACTTACTTACTTTTCTGCTTTTGAAGTGCTCCATACAGGCGAACCATAACACAGCGCAGCACAAGAGTAAAAAATAGCATCATGTTTTTCCCCAAGGATGTCAAGGCCATGCCATAATAAAACAGGCTGCTAGGCTATGGGGTTGACCTTCTGTGCCGGTTGCACCATCAACAACTTTTCAGGCAAAAGGGATCTGCTTCCTGAAACATTAAGCCTGACCTGCACCTCAGCAGCTATAACTTTGGTGTCTGTGGCTGCAGTGGGAAGGATATAGCAGAGGAACTGCAGCCAGAGGAAAAGCTGCGAGTGTCGCACATTGTACCAGAGATCATGGCAAGTCATTAGCAACAGGCCCTGCAACAGCAGAGAAAAAGCTTTTTAAAATGTTGTATAAATGTGTCTATGTTACGTGGAAGAACAACAGAAATCTAGACAGGGGATCAAAATGTGTTTGGTCATATGCAGAAAAATAAAAGTAACTTCCAAGAGGATTAGTGTTTCTATACAGAGTCATTGAAATCAATATCCTCAAAGCTCTTCGCCATCTCTGAAGTCCAAGTCTTCAAATTGGTTTGACACACTTTGTCAGAGAGCAAAAAACCCCAGCAAACCAAAGAAACCCCAAACCGCTGAGCCCACTATTCTGAGTAGTTTGTCAGCACTTCACACAAGCACTACTGAAACGAGGTTCAGCAGTCTTGAGCTTTGCAGTCTTTTTAAAAAAATGGTTTTATTGCACTTGAAATAAAAAGGCATTGGTATATGAAAATCAAAGTACTACATGCCTCAAAAGATAACAGAAGTTTATTACACTATAAAGGCTTTCAGCATATGTGAATGCTTATTTCATCTGAACACATTAGCATAGTTATTAGTCATTCTAAATAATTAAATTTCCCTCTCATCCACCTAATCTGCATTATAAATGAATATACTAAAGAGCAATGCACTTTGTTGATAAAGCACTGACTTGGCAGTCAGGAGACAGGGTTTGTTTCTGGGCCTGACCTACGACCCAAGTTGTCCCAGGCTGGTCACGTTGCCTTGAAATGCCTCAGTATCTCACACTGATCAGTAGTATTGACCTATCTGAACAAACACATCAATATCCAATCAATATCAATATCCAATCAATATCCATCAATATCCAATCAATATTTTTAATTGTTTCACAGTGTTTCAGTATTTATTGTTATAGGAAATCCTGTTAATGATGTTTTACGAAAAAGGGGAAACTATCAGACTGTGGATATTGATGTGCTTTGGTATGCATGGACTGACAGTAAATCACTGCATCTTAAAAACTGCTGCTGTCAAACTTGCACTAACATGCCTTTTTTTTTTATTTATTTCTAGGTGAAAAAGGGCAGAGATCCCCTTTATAGTAGTGGAAGCTTTTGTGCCTTAGGGCATGGTCGCCAACCAGCTGGCTATCCATTTCTCTTCAGCAGCAACTGCTAGGAAGGAACTAACTTATAGTATGTTTGAATGGAAACCAAATAAAAATTAGTTTTGAACTGTTCAAAGTTTATTTGGTTATGCTCCTGAACAAAGACCATGTTCTGCTCCTCATTCCTCTCCTTCCTACCTTTTATGGATTGTGGCCTGCTGCTTTGGTAATCTGTGGGGGCCTTGACGTGTGTGGCTGCACAAAGGTAATTTGTCCTTTTCCCAGAAGTGATGGCGTGGTCTCTAGATCTGCCTGTACTCCTCAAGAAGTCCATAAGACTTGGTTGTGAACTACATGTGAAGGAAGAAGGAGTAGTCCAGTGCCCCTAAGCTCCTTGTGTGGAGGGGCTGGTGCTGGGAACTCTGCATGCCCTTCCCAAGAAAGCAGTAACTCTGCCTGCTCATCATATGTCCCCATTAGGGTAAGTCTTCACTTTTATTTTGGTTTTGCTGAGCCTCAGAAAGTTGATTCTTGGTCTCTTTTGCATGTTATTTACCACTCAGGACCATGCGACTCATTTTTGTTACAGCCGAACCAAATCTATGTTAGTACATTCAATAGAAAACGAAGTCCTTTCTGGCCTTGATATGAAGGGCTGAAAAAGAACTGTGGTAGTTTGCTTAGTAGGGTGGGGCTGGTACCATTAAATAGTTGAATTCTCCTGCGGGTCAACAGCACAGAGAATGAAAAAAATCTCACTGGATGATTGTGTAAGGATCACCTCTGATTTAGTCATATTTCCATGAAGCCTTGCTCCAGTGAAGTAATGTTCCAGGACTTCTTCAGGCATTGAACAGAGATTTGTGTTTTACTGAGATAAAGCAGGATGTCATCTGTGAAAAGAGCAATTTATGTCCTTTGTCATGAATTGTGATGCCTCAAATCTCTGGAGACTTTCTGATAGCTATTGCTAGCGGTTCAGTGGACAGAGCAATCAGAGGAGGTGACAAAGGACACACTTGCCTTCTGCCTCTCTAAGGAAAAAGTCATTCAAATAAAGGAGTCTCGGAGAGTCATTCAAACAAATGAATGCACACCCTCTGGCTTTCTGCGGGCTTAATGAACCCTATTCACCAGAAGCACAGCCTTGTTGTCAAGCCTATGACTTCCAAGGCAGAAGGAGAATGCCAAAGGAAAGTCCGTCAGATTTGTTTTTTCTGAAGGAGTGGAGAGACAATTTTCTGCCCTTGCCTGGGACTGTGTGAGCTGCACAATTCTGGGTGTGCAATGACCTACTTGCTCTACTGTCTCAGGCTTTTCTTCCTGGGATTCTGCTCTGATTTCAAACAAACATTTTCTTCTCTGCTGAAAAATGGGTTTCACATTGTCCTGAGGCAATCAAGAAGAGCCTGTTTGCTTCTTCCTGTGCCTTGTATATGAGGGCAGCAATTTTGTGCATGAAATTATTTCAAGAGCTGTCAAGTTCCAGAAGTGTCTCAATTGTTATGTGCATATAAAGCCATATCACACAACTGTGTTTAGTTTGGGTTTTTTTGGGGTTTTTTTAAGTTTACATTGCCCTCCCTAGGATAAAAGACAGGGAAGCAAAGCAGTTACTCAGCTTCAGGCACTAAGTTGCCTGCAGTGCCCTTGATATACAGCCCCCTTGCCCGTATGTGCAGTCATGTCCTCGTATAACTCTCCCTAATTGTGGGAAATAAAAAGGAAAATGTTAAATTTTGTAATATTTATCACAATCATTTTTCAAGAGCAAGAGAGAAACTACTGGTCTATTGATAAATGTGGCCTTTAAATAGTCAACTAGGATTATCCATTTATGTGAATAATAAAAATCTCTTAGGCAGATAGAGAAAGTAGGATAAAACTTTATAACAGAGTATATATTCTCTAGCACAGATGATGACTGAAGGCCTTGGAGTTTGAAGAAAGGACAATTCATCAATGTTTTGTCTTTTTTTTTTTTAAGCTCTCCATTTTGGGAATTTCATGGAAATAATTGAGTTTTCTACTGTTGAACCAAGACTCTGATATATGCATGACTTAAAAGAGAGAGATTATTAAATATTTCACCATTTATTATCTAGATAATTTTGTCCTATAAAATCCTGCACAGCGAGTAATTTAAATTGGTACCCTATTTATGGCAGACAAAACTGCTCACAACCATCTGCTTCGTGGTTTTAATAGATGAAGTGTTAACTGCATGTTGCATAAAATTCATTGCGACTAGGTTAATTAAGTGGCTGTGCTTCACTTCCTGCACTCTGGTAATAAGATGACAACCTCATCTGCATTTATTAACCCTTGCCACTTTCAGTACTGTTATCACCCATTCAATCACTTTTGGTCAACAATAACGAAATAAATCACAATAACAGGAGACATAACCATATTGGCTAACAAAATAGATATTGATTAGCATCTTCTAAACCAAATATGTCAATCTAGTTTGATGTTATTTTTGCAAAGGTCATCAAGATCTGCTGGACTATTAGTAACAATAGTAAATGATGATGCAGTAGGTTATTGGAAAACACCCCAAATCTAATCTTTGGTCCTAAACAGCCTAAATGATGGCTTCGCCATGGGAAGCTAGAGAGACCTTTGAAGTCTTCAGCTTTCTCTTCTAGCAAGCAGACCTTAGATACCCATCTGTAGAAAAGGCCTTTACAGAGGGTTGAAAGCCAAACCTCTGAGTGTCTCTCTAGTCAGAGGCATTTCTGTCCTTTCCAAATAGGGAGCATGGGGTAAAATTGCTGCATCCATGCCTGGCCAACCCGGCATTGGGTCAAGCCTTAGTGATAGCAGATACAAAGACATTTCTTAGCTATGGCCATGGCAATACAAACTAATTGCAGGTGGGACTGAGCTGGCTCATGAAAAGGAAGGACCTGACAGAAGCATCTGCACATGCCAGTTCCTGGATCCAGTCTCTTCTCCACCACTTACACTCTTCAGATATTTAGAAAAGTTGATTTTAGGTAAGTACACACAAAGCACTCTTGCTGGCTCTACTGAGATTTGCCATGAGGGATCAATGCTGCGCATCGAAGCCATAGTTATTCATCCCCCTCTTGCCCTTCAGATATAGTCATTGAAGACTTTTTGAATTACTTCCAGTAACTCCCACTGATCCCATAGTTGTACACGGTTGTAGGTTTTCCTCTCTGGCTTGTCACCTGGCTACTGCTTCTGGAAACAACTCCTCTGTCATGCTCAGCCTCCTGGGTCTAAGCAGGCTCCAGACACTGTCTTTGGGGGTGTTTTTATGTGATCTAATGAGGGAAGTCATGTGGCCATCTCTTTCTATGCGTCAAAGTGTGGGATGTGATCCAGCTCTGGTTCAGAAGTTCAGCTGGGCTGAACTGGTTCAACCTGCCTTGCGTGTTATTGTGCCAGCTTTGGGCTTTGCCTTCCAGCAGTGTAGATATGATTTGTTTTATAAACACAACAGGGAAGTTTTCATTTTTACTGAGGGTTGTAGTTAGAATACGTTCATAGAATAAATCTGAATTTTTAACTGTATACAAAAGAAAAACATATCTTTCTCAACTTACTCCAGTAGTAAAGAGGCTGCCAAATTTCTCCCCTTCTGCACCCACACCCAGCTCCCAAACTTTGTCCCTGCCCCAGCCATGAAGCAAAACAGCAGAATCAAAACAACTTGCCCCCTACAGTGTCACCTGTGCTGGGGACC